ACAACATAATAATAATAATAATAATAATAATAATAATAATAATAATAATAATAATAATAATAGCACCTAATTAGACTTGGGAGGGCTAAAATGAACCCAAACCAAAATGGGCCTGACTAGTATGGGTCCAGATAGGAATAGGCTAAAGTGGGCCTAATTAGGCTCAAACTATATTGGGCTCGAACCAAGATGGGCCTAATTGAGCTCGAACCAAAAACAAGCTTAATCGGGCTAGGACTGAAATGGGTCTAATCAGGCTCAAACCAAAATGGGTGTCTACAACAACCTTTTTTTTGCACATCTTTGTTAGGAAAAGATGTTGCAAAGACCTAGATACCCAATATGGACTTGAATTTAAAAAATAACTTGGATTGAACCAAGGTCAGGAGACCGGGATGAAACCACGAATCAAAACAAAGCGACTAGGATTGAGTCAAGGTCAAAATAAATTATCGAAATAAAACCATGAATCATAAAAAATGATCTGGACTAAGTCAAGATCAAGTGATCGGGATTAAACCATAAGTCAGATGAGTGACTAAGATCGAGTCAAAGTCGAAAATGATTAGGACTGAAACCACGAATCATTAAAAATAATCTGGACTGAGCTAAGATCAAGTGATCGGGATGAAACTACGAGTCAAATGAGGTGACCAGGATCGAGTCAAGGTCGAAATAAATGATTGGGATGAAATCACGAATCATAAAAAATGATCTAGACTGAGCCAAGATCAAACGACTGAGATGAAACCATAAATCAAATGAAATAAAGCGATCAAGACTGAGTCAAGGTCTAAAACAAATGATCAGGACAAAACCATAAATCATCAGAAATGATTTGGATTGAGCCAATACCAAGTGATCGGGGCGAAACCATAAATCAAAATTAAAATAAAGTGACCAGGATCGAGTCAAGGTCGAAATAAATGATCGAAATGAAACCACGAATCAAGAAATAATCTAGATTGAGCCAAGATCAAACAATTGAGGCGAAACTATAGGTCCAAATAAAACGATCAGAATTGAGTCAAGGTCGAAATAAATGATCAGGATGAAACCACAAATCATAAAAAATGATCTGGTGAGCGAGATAATACACATGCATGCCTTATCTAGGATACAAATGAATCACTAGTTATGGTGCTAAGGCTTCTGTATCCTTATTTTTATACACCTTTAGTAGAGAAACCATCGAGTATTATCCTATACGTTCACCTTCACTGTGCACGCTAGCAAAGAAATCTTCTTTCACATTTGGTAAAGAAGTTATTAAACCAAAGGTGTATCTTGGTAAAGGACCCATCAGGTTGAAGTTATTTTTCATTTACTTAGAGACATGTATTTTTGTTAAAGGAGTCCTTTCGCCTATTTGAAGAAAGTCATGAAAGCCAAATTCCCCTTTCCCTTTTTTTTTTTGTTTTTTTTTTTTTTTTTTTGTTATCCTTTGTCTTTGTCTCTTTCAATCCTTCAAAGTAACACATTTCTTGTGATCTTGTTCATTATTAATCATTATCTTAATTTAAAAGCATACGGATGCAAGTTATACATTTTTTCCATTCATGGTAAGGGATAAAGAGGAAAAGTAATGTACAGGACTTAAAGAATGATAAAATGGCTTTCATTTATGTGGATAATCAATTATAGATGATTGTGTGAAGGAAAAGAGTGTACAGGAATGGTCGCTTTAGGGAGACAGTGCCCAGGGCAAATGATTAGATAACCATTACAATAAATTCAAATTTTCCTTTGAAAACTTAATCAAAACTTGACGCCCAACAATTCAAAGTTTTTGTCAAAATTTACTATCCATGATATGCCAATTCCAGTTGCCTTTTAGAGTTCTAATCCTTGCTTTTGGTTCAAAGTCACCCTTTCGAGTTTTCCACTTGAACTCTCTCTTTTGTGTGGTTCAAACTGCCCTTCTGGGTTTTCAATTTGACCCATCTTTTTTTTTTTTTTTAAATATCAAGCAAAATACTACGTCAGAGTTCATAAGACTAGGAAGTTCATCTTCATCCATCTTTGAAAAGATCAAGGCTTTTTTGAAAAGAGCTCTTTTCACCACATAAGGCCCTCTCAATTTGGAGTCCATTTTTTTCTATCATTATGATGACTTGGAAGAATATTTTTCAATACCAATTCTCCCTCTCGAAACTATCAAGGTCTAATTTTTTTATCATGAGCTCTCATCATTCTTTTTTGGTACAATTGGCCATAGCATAAGGCTATCAATCTTTTTTCCTCAATAAAGTTCAATTGCTCATAGCGTTTTTGAATCCATTCAGCTTCTTCTAGTCTTACTTCCCTCAAGATTCTCAGAGATGGGATTTCTACTTCTACTGGTAATACAACTTTCATTCCATAAACCAAATAAAAAGGAGTTACCCTCGTAAAGGTACGTACAGAAGTTCGATACGCATGTAGGGTGAAAGACAACTTCTCGTGCCAATCCTTGTATGTTTTAGTAATTTTTTTCATAATCTTTTTGATGTTTTTATTTGTAGCTTCCACTGCATCATTCATTTTCGAATGATATGTGATCGAATTATAGTGTTTGGTTTTGAACTGAGCATTTACTTCCTTATTATCTTGCTATTCAGGTTCTTGGCATTATCTTATATAATTGTTTTTGGAAACCTATATCTATAAATTATTTTTCTTTTGATGAATTTGCAGGCCACTGATCTAGTCACTATTGAGAAAAAGGAAGCCTCGACCAATTTGGTGAAATAGTCAATCATTACAAAAATGAATCTATTCCTATTTGAAGTCTTTGGTGTAATAGGACAAATGACATCCATCCCCCCACATAAAAAATGGTCAAGGTGGTGCTATAACATGCAAAACACTAGGTGGAGCATGAATTTTATCAGCATAAATCTGGCATTTATGGCATCTTTAGACATAATTGATGCAATTTTTTTTCATTGTCAACCAATAATATCCAGTTCTGATAACCTGTCTCGTCATCATATTCCTATTTATATGTGCCCCACATACACCAGTATACACCTCTTCAACAATTCTTCTAGCTTTAAACATATTTACACAATGGAGTAATACCTGATCTTTACCTCTTTTGTACAAAGTTTCCCCATCCAAACAAAATCCCATGGCCAATCTTCGTAAAACTCTCTTATCATTTTTCATTGCTTGATTTGGATATTGCTGAGCTTTTAAATACTACATGATATCATAATACTAGGGCAGCCATCCTCTTCTTCTTCTAAGTTGGCACAATGTACTAGCATATCTTTGATATCCTATTTGATAGGCTAGATCTCAACGGTATCACCAATCTATACCATGATGACCAAGATAGCCAAGGTACTCGCAATCTAATTTTTTTTCTGAGGTAAGTGTTCAAACTAGATTGTTTTAAACCGTTTGCACAACTCTAAAATATACTTATGATAAGGGATGAGTTTTGAATCCCTTGTCTCCTATTCACCTTTCAATTGATAAATGACTAGAACTGAATCTCTAAACACCTTTAATATTTTAATCTTTCTATCTAAAGTCGCATGCAGCCTTATAACACAAGCTTCATACTTAGTGATATTATTGGTGCAGTTGAAATTTAATCTTGCTATAACAAGATAGTAATGCTTCATTGGAGATATCAAAACGACTCCAATCCCATGCCTTATGGCATTAACAGTTCCAACGAAATACATCCGCCATGCTTTCTCTTCATCGTTATCTTATTCTAATTCTAAGATGGCCACTAATTCCTCATCTGAGAAATCAAACTTCATGGGCACATAATCTTCATCAACTTTATTTGTCAAGAATTCAGTAATGGCACTCATTTTGATTGCTTTTTGACTTACATATGTTATATCGTACTTAGAAAGCAATACTAGCCATTTTGTGATTCTCTCAAATAATGAAGGCTTCTCAAAGATATATTTGATGGGATCCAATTTAGTTATGAACAAAATGGTATAGTAGAACATGTGTTGCTTAAGCTTTCTAGCTCTCCAAGCCAAAGCACAACACATTTTCTCTAGCGATGAATACTTAGACTCTTACTCTGTAAATTTTTTACTGAATAATAAATAACTTTTTCTTTCTTGTTATATTCGTCTTGTTAGCTCAGCACACATCCCATCAAACCCTTTGTACCACTAAGTATAGAATTAGTAGCTTTTCTGGGATAAAGGGTGCTAATATTAGAGGGTTTGATAAGAACACTTAATCTTATCAAAAGTTTTTTGGCATTGTTTATTCTAATCTCTAAGATTATTCTTTCGAAAGAGCTTGACAATGGGGTCACATTTAAGGGTAAATTGAGAAATGAACCAAAAAATGTAATTCAATCTATCCAAGAACCCGTGAACCTCCTTCTATGTACTTGGTAGAGATAGATTCTGAATGACCCAGATTTTGTTTGGATCCAAGAAAAGTGAATAAACTTTTGTCTAAATTCTTGGAAAACATATGGTTGAATGGTTAGGGTGAAAACATTAGGAAGGTTTTTTCAAGGTCTAAAATAACTTTCAAACTTCATACATTTTCCACTAAGCTTTAAACCTGGTATACTGGTAATGATATCAAAACCAATAACAAGGTCTTTTTGAGGAAGTAGAGATCCTAAAATCTTTTGAGTTATTTGACAACTTGAAAAGATTTGAAAGGTAACATGGTTGCTGATAAAGTCTGTAAAAAATACATTCTCATCAGCGATTTTGAAGTAGGTTTTCTATTTTGTCCAAAGGTTTTTGGGTAAGACAAGGAGGTTTGCTATGGTTTGGGCTGTATCAGTGTCAAAAAAAGCTGTGACTGTTATAGAAGGGGAATGTTTGTGACCTCCAATCTTCTCCAGACCCAGACATAAGAAGCTCTTCAGATATGCTGATAAGCCCAAAAGATTTCAAAGATTCAAATTTGCAAGAAAGAAGAAAGATCCAAAGATCAAAAGTTCAAAATGTTTTCTTTATGGAAAACTAGGACATTTGTCAAAGAATTGCCCAAAGTCAGACAAAAAATCAGTCAAGATGATCCAAGACATTGCTAATATCTTTGGTATCAATCTCTCAGATGATGATCTTGAATCAATTTTCTCCCTTGATGATGAGCAGAATGAAAGATCCCTGTTTATGATCAAACAGTTTGATGATGCTGAGTTTTATACCAGGTTTAAAGCTTAGTGGAAAAGGTATCAAGTTTGAAAGTTATTTTAGATCTTGGAAAAACCTTCCCAATCTCTTCACCTTAACCATTCAACCATATGTTTTCCAAGAATTTAGACAAAAGTTCATTAACTTTTCTTGTGTAGAAAATCATTCAGACTTCTTCTAGAAATGTGACCACCCACTTTGGAAAAACCCTGAATTTTTCATTTCACTTTCTTTCAAAAGAGATGAAAATGCCAATCCCACAAAAGCCAGTCATTCAGGCATGAACCCAGATCATTTCAAGCAAGCAATCCAAGAATGCTCCCTTCTCCGGGCTCAAGGATTAATTGAACCAACCTCCTCTCCATGGGCATGTGGCATTTTATGTCAACAAACATTCAGAACAAGTTCGTGAAAAATTAAGATTGGTAATTAATTACAAGCCTCTAAACATTTTTCTTGCAGATGATAAGTTTCCTCTTCCAAACAGAAAAACTTTGTTTGCAAATTTGGTAAATGCAAAAGTCTTCTCAAAGTTTGACCTCAAAGTAGGATTTTAGCAACTAGGTATACATCCACAGGATAAATACAAAATGGCGTTTTGCATTCTTTAACACCATTTTCAGTGGACAGTAATGCCTTTTGGATTAAAAGTTACTCCATTAATTATTGAAGTAAATCTTTTGCACGAAGATAGAAAAAATGGGTTCCCCTCCCTATCAGTTAGAAAGCTTTTACCATTATTATTTTGATTTATAATGAAAGTGACAGTCCTGGAGAATTTCATTTGAACACTTGAACAAGATTTTTGCATATTAATACTATACTATGTCTTTATATAATTGCGAGAATATGATCATCTAAGCCTCATAAACTATATAGGAAGAGTTGAATTTGTGAGTGCTTACTCTTTTGCCAAGAATCTAAAACCATTTCTAAGTAGAAGTTCTTTTTTACTTTAATGATGAATTTTATAATGTGGGTTGTGTAGAATCCCGTTCCATCTTGAGGTAAAACGCAGAAAATACAAGTCACAGGGAACTGATCTGCTGGGAAAGACAATAGAGGAAAGGGTTTTAGAGGAAAATTGGCTAGACGTTGAGGCAAACATCTACAACCCACCAGTTTTCGCCCTAACCGTTCAAATCATGCTTTCCCCCAAGTTGGGGATCCCTCCTGATGAAAATTTGATCAAAGAGAGTGAGGAAAAGCTTGCCAAAATGCTGAATGTTTATGAGGAGAGGCTGTCAAAGAGCAAGTACTTAGCTGGTGATTTCTTCAGCCTAGCTGACCTTAGCCATCTGCCCTTTGCTCAGTACTTGGTGGGCCAAAGGAGTATATATATGATAAGGAGCAGGAAACATGTGAGTGCTTGGTGGGATGATATTAGCAGCAGACCTTCCTGGCAAAAGGTTCTCCAGCTCTATGCTTCTTCTTTCTAAAGATTGAAATGCTGCAATTTCAGTGGGTCTCTTTTCAATAACGTCTACTTTGTTAATCAGCAGTTTGCTTTCAGCTCTTGTTTTATCTGTCATAAGAGAACTTTTATAGTTATGGGGGTGTTTTATAGTTATAGTTGGCTTGTCCTATATTTGATGGATGGTATGAATCAAGAAGAATTTGCTTTCACAAGGATTTTCTTAAAATAAATTTATATCAGAAAATTTTGTTCAAAAACTTTGGGCCTCTAGCTCGACAGATCTGGCAAGGCCTTGGACAGCTCTTTTGAACAGCCCATCGAACCCAAAAAAAATGAAAATACTGGTATTTTATTATTATGTCATTTTTATAAGTAATTAAGGATAAAAGGTAAAGTTCTTAAAAAAGATGGAAACTTTATAGCTCTTTCAATCTTTCTAATTTGAATTTTGTTAATTTTGTTTATATATGGATAGAAATGACAGTTTCTTCCATTCATTTCTTTGCAAATTTTTGTTTTTGTCATATCAATATAAAAAGTAATTTGATGCATAAAACTCTTGTTATACGTAAAATTTGAAAAAAAAAAATCCAATTTGTAAATAGTCTTATCTTATACTTTTACAAAAAACTGTTTTCGCCACACCAATCACAAGCGAAAACTTGCCGTTTTATTATTTCCTCCAACAAAAAAAAAAAAAAAAAAGGATTTATGTTCGAATCTGGTGACAAATTTGACGAATTTTTTAGATGAAAAAAGATTATTTTCTTTTATTTAATCTAAAATCATATGTAGCAAGAAAAAATGGTTGTGCTCCATTTGTGCATATAGTATTACGTACGAAGTAGAGAAAAACCACTAGGGTACGGACAGAGACCAAGAAGAAGGTTCTCCAACACTTGACAATTAGTACCTAATCAAAATCAACGACTTGGACTCTTAAAAATATTTTTTAAAAAAATTAGAAAAATGATGGACTTGGACTTGGAATTTTTGAACAAAGCAATATGTATAATTAAATAATAATGTAAATACCAATATTCCTTTTCCTTGCTCTCTTGACCCCTAAGAGCAAGTTTGTCCATATTCTTGGTCTTTGGCATGGCATTTTTTTCTCATTCTAAACCATTAATTCCACTCTTTTTCTTTGGACCACGTAGCAGCTTTGTTCTTAAGGGACAACATTGAAACTTATCTTTTTCTATAATTGACCCATGAAATTAAAAAATAAATCATTAATTACCCTCATCAATCAAAAAAGTTATACTTCCTCTGTCCTAAAATGTTTAGATTGTATTAATTTTCATGGAGTTTTAAAAAAAAAATTTTGATTTAGTTGTATTTAATATTAAAATTAAAAAAAAATTTATAAAATTAAAATTTTTTAATAAATTTTTATTTAAAAAAATCATAAAAAATAATTTTAAAATATAAAAAATAAGAGTTTTGGATATTCAAAATAAAAAATATATAATTTTGAGACATCTCAAAAATAAAAAATAGACAAAGAAAATAAGACAGATAGAGTACTTTTATTTTGTTCATACTAAAAGGTATATTCATAATTCTGTAATGTAAATTAATGGCGTAAGTCTTCTTGAATGAAAACGTATGCAAAAGATGCTAATTGAGGAGAAATGTTATGTGGAAAAAAGTTGAAATCACATCCAAATATTTATTATTGAAATATATAAATTTCAATAATGTATATATTTCAATAATATATATTTGGCTGTATGATTTGGTTCAAGTGATACTATTGTGAACGTAAGTTTGTGTTAAAACTGAAATATATGCAATTGTTTATCTGTCCTGTAAAATTGATGACTGTTTGTACAATTTTTTAGTATCAAATTTCCTTTTTTATGCTTTTAGGATGAATAAATTGCTATTTATCCAATGTCAAGATTTATGGCTTCCATGTTTTTAATTACTTTGATATGCATCTACGCTTTAGACAATGTGATTTATATCTATCACAATGTACTTAGTTTTTCATAAATACTTCAAGCTTTTCAAAGTAATTTTTTTTAATTGTTGAGTTTTTAAATAATATTTTTATAAAAAAAATCGTAACCCAAAAATAAAAAAAAATTATAAATATTGAGATTTAAATTTTAAATTTATTAAATATCGTCTCTTAAATTAATTGAATGGACCAACTAATTTAAATTTTATTTCCAAACACACATTACTGTTTTCATGATGAAAACTGCCTTGTTCCTTTCTATATGAGGCATCAATTTTTATTTGAGAAATATGTTTGTTCGAAAAAAAAAAGTTTTTTTAAGAAAAAATAAGTTTTTAACTCTAAATTACGACTATAATTTTATAAATAGAAATGAAAAAGGAAACCAAGTATATGACTAGCAAACACAAGACTGTTCAAAGAAGAAAAAAAAATCAAATATATTTGAAAAGGATGCGTATGAAAAATCCGAAATTATAGTATGCAACCAAAATTTGTTCGTATTGCTAGGAGAAAGTGGAAGGTGTGGCCCTTTGAATAATAATCCAAACTTTGGAGCTGGAAATTGGAATGCAAGTTGCTGTTTCAGTCCAAATCAATCAATTCAACTATATATATACATAGGTATTACTATCCCTGCCCATGCATTAAACTGCTCTGAAATCAAAATTTCTATGTGAGAAACCGTTTGGGTAGGGTCGACATTGGCAACGATGTGGATATTTCTAAGTTTTTAACTCTAAATTACGACTATAATTTTATAAATAGAAATGAAAAAGGAAACCAAGTATATGACTAGCAAACACAAGACTGTTCAAAGAAGAAAAAAAAAATCAAATATATTTGAAAAGGATGCGTATGAAAAATCCGAAATTATAGTATGCAACCAAAATTTGTTCGTATTGCTAGGAGAAAGTGGAAGGTGTGGCCCTTTGAATAATAATCCAAACTTTGCAGCTGGAAATTGGAATGCAAGTTGCTGTTTCAGTCCAAATCAATCAATTCAACTATATATATATATAGGTATTACTATTCCTTCCCATGCATGCAACTGCTCTGAAATCAAAATTTCTATGTGAGAAACCGTTTGGGTAGGGTCGACATTGGCAACGATGTGGATATTTCTTGTCTCTCCTGACCCACCATTCCCATGATCTTTTTTCTTCGTTGTTATTAATTTATTAATAAATCCACTCTCTTATTAATCAAAGAAAATGAAAAGATTAACGAAAGTTGATTTAGGTAATTGGTTATCTGAGTTTGAATTCGCTGCAAAGCATGTGAAAATTAATTTTTACGAAATAAATTTGCTTGGAGTGACTCGGAAAGGAAATGTAATGAACAAAATCCAAAAACACTAAAAAATGAAAAAATAGAATACATTAATTTGATTACAAATAATAATATTATGAGTTATTATTTAATACATTATTAATGTAATTTTTTAATTTCATAAACGCATTAAAATGTGTAATTTAATATAATTTAAATAGAAACTATTTAAGACATTATTGTTTAATACATTATCAATGTAATTATACATAAGCCTAAAGCTAGATTCTAATTGAAAAACACATGATCAAGACTTACAAAATTAATCAAGCAGGAAAGAAAGCATGAAAATGATTAAAAACACCTATTTTACATCCACAATATTAATTATCAAAAAGAAAAGAAAAGAGAAGAAAGGGATTAAGTGTTTTGGCTGCAGTCTCCATTCTTTTGTCTAATTTCCTATGCTTTTTGTGTTGTTGGTGCTCGAGAACAACCAATACGATGATGTACTAGAATCAAGAATAGGATAAGTCATTCCAGTAATAATCGGATCCACTTCTGATTCATAATCGAGATCGTCGTCGCGAGCAACCGGGAACACTATATCCGGATAACTATGCTCACGTCCGGAGTTGATCCTCTTTTTCTCAAGATCAGCAGCTTCTTGGAGCTCTATTGCAAATCCCAACTTTTCCATCACCTCATTCATGGATGGCCTATTGACTCCCAGTTCTACTATGCAATTTTCTGCAATTTCAACAAACACCTTAAAACACTCTGGAGATATCTTCCCAATCAGATGGGGATCGATAACCTGATAAAGAGTCCCATCCGAAATACATTTCCTAGCCCATTGAGCCAGGTTCACTTGACCCTCTGGCAGTTTCTTATCCAAAGCTTTTCTTGCACATAATACTTCAAATAGCACTACACCTAATGAATAACATCTGATTTTTCAGTTAGTGCATGACCCCGAGCATACTCTGGATCCAAGTATCCCCAAGTGCCCTTTACTCCGGTCTCGAGCATGTCAACTTTTGGGTCTATTTTCGACAACCCGAAATCCGAGACTTTGGCAGTAAATTTATCATCTAGGAGAATGTTGCTTGTCTTCACATCACGGTGAATAACAGTATGTTTCACTTCTGTGTGAAGGTAGTTCAATCCCATTGCTGCTCCCTTGCAAATCTCCAGTCTTTGCATCCAGGTCAGAGGATCATAGCTAGGAGCACCATAGAGATGATCAGAAAGAGTCCCGTTTCTCATGTAATCATATACGAGTATCATCTCAAAATTCTCATTGCAATATCCAATTAAGGACACCAAATGAACGTGGCGAAGCTGAGTGAGCATCTCAATCTCTGTCAAGAACTCTATAACACCCTGTCGGGACTCTGGATTCTGTCGCTTGATTGCAACTATTTTTTCCCCTTCATCCAAGAAACCTTTGTAGACTTTGCCAAAGCCTCCTTTCCCAATAACTAAATCATCATGGAAGTTGTTGGTAGCAGCTTTGATCTCATCCAGTGAGAAATGGCGGCATATTTCTTCCGGTAAATGAGGATTTTGTAGATTTCCCTTCGTTAGGATTTCTCCATCCATAAAACCAATTCGTTCCTGAGTAGGAACCTTTGTGCTGCCTCATTTTATGTCGCCAAACAACTATACAAACTACTAAAGAAACCAGGGTAAGCAAACTCACCGCACATCCGATAGCAGCAATTAGCACTCTTCGCTTCATCTTGAATTTTCCACCTGCAGAATTGGAGGATTCAGTATGTGGTGGTGGTGGAGCTACCAGTAGTTCAGGGTTGGGTCCGGCCAAATTGCCATCAGAATT